GGGGGGGAGAGCGGGACGGGCTGGGTTGCTTCCGTAGGGGTGGGAAACGTAGCCGAAATCGGTGATTGCTCCAAAGGGTTCTGCTTGGGCGACCGAGACGCGTTCGAAGCAAGAAACCCGGCAAACGACATCCGAGTCTCTCTCTTTGCAGCTCCTTGGTGGGATGAATCATTCCTCTCGGTAGGGCTCCAGCTGGAAAGCAGAGTTGCGACCCCGAGCAGGCCGGGTGTGAGGGCTGCGCTGCGCTCGCGTCGTGCCCGTGTTTCGCAGAATGTGCTTTAGTGATTTTTATTCAAAATAGTATGGAATTAGTTTCCCCAAAACTTAATTCTTTTTTAAAACCGTTGACGAGAGATCAAACCCGGTTTTGACTCAGCAGCCTGTCTTGGCACTAAAAGGGCTGAGAAAGCCACTCTCCGGGGGCCTTCCACCTGCTTCTCCAGGCAGATGGGGAAAGACAAGACTCTATAGCTTGCTGGGTCTACAGTGACATGAAGGAAGATTTAAGTGTTAGAGTTACTAAATACAGAGTAAAGAAAAAAAAAAAAGATAAATAAACTCTGCAACCTTTTAGGCAATTTTCTAAAATTGTCACGAGAAAACCTGGAGCTTCACTTTAGCTCTCGCTTAAGAAACTGGCACTACTTTTCCCCATTTAAGCAGAGTTATATTTAATATTGGAGGGAGAATTTAGCTTTTGTCACCGCTGCATTCTGAACAGCATGACTAAAGCTGTGATGCTGAGGCAACGTGTTCCTCGCACAAACTCTGCTTTCCTAAGCAATGCCTCCTACAATTTGTATAAACGAAGGACCAAACTGCACGAGTACTTGTGCATGTGCCTGTTGAAGCTGCTGGTCCGGAAATGTGGTTATTTTATGTAAAAAAAGCAATGGTCTGACTTGCTTGCTTAACTTATATTCATTGCTTCACCAGTGTAGGGGTGTGTACATGTACATGCAAATCAGCACAAATTATATGTATACTATGGTATCTATATGCATGTATGTACTTACATGCATAAAGTCAGTATGCATTAAATAAACACATGTGTAGGTGTCTATCTGCTTAATAATAACAGTAGCCCAATCATAACATTGCCAGCCCACAACTCAGCAGCACCACACACACGCTGGTGGCTTGCTACGAATCCGCACCAGCGCTGGAAGGGAAGATGCTGGGCTGTGGCTGGGAGCAGCGGAGGTGCGGGCGTACGTTATCTCCTGCCAGCGCTGCTGTGTGTGGTGGCATCGGGCGGAGAGGAGGTGCAAGCAGCTGGGAAAGTCACCCTAGCCCGTTCAAAGATAAATTGTCAGAGCTCACTTGGTACACATCTAAAGAATGAAATTTTACTATGCTTTCTACACTACTGTCTGCAATAGGCGGACTCAAAGTAGAAAGGAGCTTCCAATTTATCTCATTTATTGGCCAAGTGTTGCTTTTGGCTGTCTGGCTCCTGCGTAACTCAGAATTTAAAGGACATACTATCCTCTCCCACCTATTTCATCTTTAGAAAATGATGGTGTGAACTGAAGTTGCTCACCAGAGACCCCTATGGGAAAAGACCCATTGTTGAGCTGGGGGAAGCTTCATCAGCCAAAGATGCACTGGTGATACAGTCTTCAATGTTGATCCAGCCTTTCACGCGTGCTCAAAACTTGTCTTCAAGTCAAAGGAATGCATTAGGAGATCAGGAATATTTTCAGTGGTTGTAGAAAAAAATACTGGTTTGTGATGGGGTGGCGTATGAGGCTAAAACCCCCACACTAAGAGACTCCAGTGAGTTGGGAGGAGGGGGAGCAGGAGCGAGCACCAGGAAAACTGCTCTGCTGCAGCGCTTGTACCAGATCATTCATAGCGGCACCAGGACAGAGCAGCAATCCTGTAATGGGGATGTTTATGGTATGTTATAATATTCCATCCATCGGCATCAATGTTTTTTGAGCCTGAGATAAAAACCTTTAACATTTATAGGTTATTAGCATCCTTTTTTTACTTTCTCTAGGCTGTTTGCATATAAATCTCATTTTAAGAATAGTCCATTAAAACCACAGCTGTCACTTGCTGAGAGATTTGGGGTGGGTTTTTTTCATCCTGAAATCATCTTTGTAATGGCTTTTGTGCTTTTCCTTCAGAGCTTTGTCTCGTTTTTTTCTTTTTTTTTATTCACCTGTTAAAATTGCACTTCTCTCTCACAGCTGGCAGATTGGAAGTAATGGAATTTAACTGCTATTGCAATGGTTCTGAGCGAAAAAAAATCTTTGCAGTTCCTGATTTTAGAAATGTATGTTTTACTAGCTCTTT